TGTGTGTGTATTTATATACATATATATTTATATACATATATATTTATTTATTTATTTATTTACTTATTTATACATATAAGTGTATGTTTATTTAATAGATACCATGAAACTTTATTGTATGATAGTACTAGGATGTTAATGTTTTATAATCTATTCAATTCAAACGCTACCTAAATTAAAATAAGCTGTTAAACGCTCGAGAATCGTGTACGAATTGGAAACCAGGATAATTTCTGTCTCGACTACAACAGCTGATAAATCCGTGCTTCTTCTAATTCTTGAACACTCATCGTAAGTGAAGACATCTTAAAAAAAAATTCTGAAAAGGACAGTAAAGTTTGCAGTACGCGAGCTACGTATGTCTAGCTGACAGTGAGGAAAACGGTGATGATATGCATTGTAGATCTACCTCTTTCATTTTAGTCTTAAATACACTTATTATTATTATTATTTTTTTTTAACTCTACTGATTGTGACCATGGATATTTAATCAATACTTTGAAGCCCCTTGTTTACTCCTTAGGTAAACAAAGGAGCGATTTCTGAAGTTGGGTTTTGACCAAATTCTTGTTTTATAAGCTATATTAACGTAAGCAATATGTAAGTCTGGAGTGCATGTAGCATCACAAATTTGGTAGAACAAAACCGTGAACCATGGGCGTACCACAAGGAATTTCTTCCGTTTTCTGTAAAGGTAAAAAAGAAAGAGAACGGTGTTTTTGAGGGTACACTACGATATAATTTTCAAAAGTGCAGCTGCTTCACGGAAGTGCAGTGCCAAAGTAACTTCCGAACCACCAATTTGTATCATACGATTATTGTATGTTGATAAGTATAATGAATAAAATGATGACAATGGATAATGACTGATAAGATAACTAGAAAAAGATAATAATCGATGGTAATGATACTAGTAATAATGATATCAATAATGATAATAGTAATAATGATATCAATAATGATAATAGTAATAAGAATATCAATAATGCTAATAGTACTAATGATATTAATAATGATAATAGTAATGAGAATATCAATAATGATAATAATACTAATGATAATGCTAAAATACAGTGGTAGTAATAGTAAAAATAGTAATAGACCAGGATCTGGACGTGGGAGGGGAAGGACAGATAAATAACATGAGGTCACTCCGGTTCGCCTCCACACAGCTGGTTCTGGACCACGAGACTTACTTCCTGAACCTGACGGCGGCGGAGGCGAGCGGCGAGGCGCACTGGGAACGCCTCTACTCGGCCAGGGACGCCTACGGGATGGCCGCCCTCACGCCCGCCGACTGGCAGGACCTGGCGGAGCGCATGGCGGCCGACAGGAGCCTCTTCGACGTCTACTACAAGTAGGAGAGGCGACGAAATTGTGTTCATAAGGATCTTTTTCCTATTTCAATGGCCCCGAAATGAGGCAGAATACCAAGTCAAGGACATTTCTTCAAGTACTTATTCCCAGTCTTTGCTTCTCTGCACACGAAAATTACAACAGAGGTCAAAAGTGGCTAAGAAACTATCAAATGAACTCCATAATTTTCCCCGTAACTCCCTGGGACTTCTTCCACTAAATAACTTAAGTTTTCTCTTCGGTTTAATCCTTTTCTATACATAAATACTTCCCAGTACAACCCTCGAACAGATGCAACCTTATATTATCGTATTACTGATGACTTGATGTATTTCTTATCGTCACCACTACAACCAAACCACCATTATCCTTACTATTGCCCTACCATCCCCATTATCCTTACTATTGCCCTACCATCACCATTATC